TGAGACTTTATTCCCTACATGCTCTTACATTAACATAGTATGACACAGTGAACGGTCTGCCGGTTGGGTTGGGCTGAGGATGAATGAATTGGCAGTCCCTGGCGGTCTCTTCTTATCCGCTGCCTCCCAGTCCTCAGCCAATCGGTGTGAGCCATCCACCCTGGATGCACCAATCCCGGAGGAGCACCTGGACACTCAAATTCACACACAATTATTGTGTAAATTTAATTTTTGTAAAACTAAGGTTCCATGTGTCACTGTTGAAGTGGGGCATTAATCAGTGTGATGCCACTTGTAAACATGTTGCATGTGTGGGGTTTCCCAGCCAGAGCTGCATGGACTCCACACTGGTAAGGCACACTTTCTGTAGCTCCTCTCCCTGTACTAAATTGTACATTTAAATTTGTTGTATTTTTCTTTGCTAAGTATTAGTTCTTATGGCTAAAAGCTCCCAAAGTGTTTTTGATTGCTTTGAACGAGACAAATAGTAATTGGAACTTCATTTTATCTGTTACACCATCCATTTATGTGGTCCTTACTTGTGCTAAACAGGAATGAGGAGAGGCCTGCTGTTGCTGTGTGACACTGATTTTTCTGCTGCACTTTGTCTTGTAAAGTAAATGTATAGGTTTTGTTTCATGTGTATAATGAGTTCATGACCTGAGGTTGCACACTGAATAGTATTTTCAGCCATGTTGAGAAAAGTTAAAGTTGTTTGAATATGTATTGTGTAATTGATCCATCTTAGTGGGGATTTAAATATTACAAGTTATTATTAGTGGCTTCATATTTGTCTCTGTTTTACCCCACTATAACATTTGATTTTAAAGTGGCTGTTGGGAGAATCCACACCGTTGTTTTGATAGATTGTATTTTCTTTTATATATTGTAAGCAGAGCTGCATGGACTCCACACTGGGATGAGGAGAGGCCTGCTGTTGCTGAGTGACACTGATTTTGCTGCTGCACTTTGTCTTTTAGAAATAAATCCAGTTTCCAGCCAGTCTGTGTCTGTCGTCACAACGCAGTCAACCATTTGAAATCTGCTACACCAAGCTTGTAACATTATACCCAAGAGGGCCTGAGGATGTAATTGCTGCCAAAGGTGCTTCAACAAAGTATATAGAATTTTGAGGTGAAAAAATGAATTTAATCACTTTTGGAATGTAAGATGACAAAATGTGCAAGTGAAGCACTGTGAATACTTTCTGGATACACTATGTTTTAAACTTGAAAGTCGTAAACACAGGTTTCCACACAGCCCCAAATCACCACTAAAAAGTTATTTGTGACTAAAAGTTGTGATTTATGAGGTTCAAAAGGCAAAAATTAAACTAACAACAGTGTTTTAAGTCGACAGTTTGGACTCTCCAGTCCAGTAGACAGCTGCTTCAGTCTTGAATCCTGCAGTTTACTTCCTGTCAGGTCAAGCTCCGTCAGGTGGGAGGGGTCAGACTTCAGGGCAGAGGCCACAACTTTGTAGTGAGTCTCTGACAGCCAACATTCAGAAAGTCTGAGATTGAAGAAACAATGGAAGTCAGGGATTTATCCTAAATACTAAGGACAGAAAACAAAAATGGCAATCACTGTAAATGGAAAGTTAAAAAAGTGCACTGTGGAGCACTCATAGCTGTTGAGTCATATTTATCTCATGGAAGACCAAAGTGAGTGGATGTCAACGGACACCTACCTACCCACTGTGGCCTCTCACGGTCATGTTTGTTAGTACATTAATAATAAAAAATACACATTATAAAGGATAAGTGGAAGAGAATGAATGGATAGAACATCATAAGTTCTAAGTGGTTTTCAGTACTCGACCTGAAGTCCGGTTACTACCAGATCCAGATGGAGGAGGAAGACAAGGCAAAGACTGCTTTTGTGACTCCTCTTGGGTTCTGGGAGTTTAACCAAATGCCTCAAGGTGTCACCAACGCCCCAAGCACATTTCAGCGCTTGATGGAGCGATGCATGGGGGACCTCCACCTAAGGAAGTGCTCGTTTTCCTTGATGACTTAATCATCTATTCAGACACTCTTGAGGAACACGAACGAAGGCTGCTGAGAGTCCTGAACCGGTTGAAGGAATATGGGCTCAAACTGGCACCGGAGAAATGTCGATTCTTCCAAAAATCTGTTAAATACTTGGGTCATATTGTCTCTGAGGAAGGAGTTCAAACAGATCCAGAGAAGATAGAGACCATCAAGACATGGCCGGTTCCACAAACTCTGAAACAATTGAGATCTTTTCTGGGCTTCGCTGGCTATTACCGCCGGTTTATAAAAGACTATTCCGTCATTGCCAAACCACTCAATGACCTGACTCGTGGATATCCTCCGGTTCAAAGATCAAAGACCCTGAAAGCTCGCAAGACATCCACCTACGGGCCAAATCAACCCTTTGGTGAGAGGTGGAATACCAACTGTCAAGTTGCATTTGAGACCCTGATTGAGAAGCTTACAACTGCCCCGGTCCTTGGGTTTGCAGACCCGTCTCGCCCATACATTCTGCACACCGATGCGAGTGTGACCGGACTTGGAGCTGTGTTGTATCAAGAGCAAGAGGAGAAACTCCGGGTCATAGCCTATGCTAGCCGCAGATTGTCACAGAGTGAGAGCCGTTATCCAGCCCATAAGTTGGAATTCCTCGCCCTTAAATGGAGTGTGACCGAGAAATTCCAAGATTACCTGTACGGAGCAGATTTTACAGTGGTTACAGACAGTAATCCACTGACCTACGTTTTGACAACAGCTAAACTGGATGCTACTGGACACCGTTGGTTGGCTGCATTGTCAACATACTCCTTTAAACTCCTGTACAGAGCTGGCAAACAAAATTGCGACGCTGATGCGCTCTCGCGACGACCCTACCCCTGCTCCAATGATGAAGTTTCCAATGACCATGAACTCATCCGTCAGTTCATTTCTCAACACACAGCTGAGTCTGATGTCCTCCCAGAAGAGATTGTGAAGGCAATCTGCCAAAGTCATCTGGTCAGAGCCACACGGCCAGGTGACTGCAGTGAGGTTGGCCTCACACTTGTCGAGTCTTTGTCAGTTCAAGTGGATACCATCTCTGACAGTTACTGTTCCGAGGACCTTCACCAGCTGCCTGTCGTTTCTACTCTTAACATCAAAGAGAAACAACACTCAGATCCCTGTATTCGAGAGCTTATTCACCAGCTTGAGACGGGAGAGAGGATTCCACCGACAGCCAGAGCTGAGCTCCCTGAACTTCCGTTCCTGCTCAGAGAGTGGTCCAGGTTGGAGCTGGTGGATGGAGTTCTGTACAGGAGGAGACAGGACAATGAAGACCTTTTATACCAGCTTGTCCTTCCAGAGGAGCTGCGACCATCAGTCCTGAAAAGTCTCCATGAGGACATGGGCCATATGGGGATTGAACGTACACTCGACCTTGTCCGTACGAGATTCTATTGGCCCAAAATGGCAAAGGATGTTGAGCAGAAGATCAAGACTTGTGGCCGCTGTGTGCGCCGAAAAGCCTTGCCAGAAAAAGCTGCTCCACTTGTCAGCATAAAAACATCGCGACCACTTGAGCTCTTTTGTATGGATTTCCTTGCTCTTGAACCTGACACTAGTGGCACTCGTGATATCTTAGTCCTGACTGACCATTTCACTAAATTCGCTGTTGCCATCCCAACACCCAATCAAAAGGCAAGAACTGTGGCGAAGTGTCTATGGGAGAATTATATCACGTACTATGGCATTCCTGAGCGAATTCATACCGACCAAGGGCAAGATTTTGAGTCGAGACTAATAAAAGAATTGTGTGAGATTCGGAAGAGCCGTACAACCCCTTACCATCCAAGGGGAAATCCAGTGGAGCGATTTAATAGGACGCTGCTGGCAATGTTGGGGACTTTGGAAACAAAACAAAAAACAAGATGGAAAGAGCATGTGAAACCGCTGGTTCACGCCTATAATTGCACCAGGAACGAGGTTACAGGATTTACTCCTTACGAACTCATGTTCGGTAGAACACCTCGTTTACCTGTGGACCTGGTGTTCAATCTGCCACTGCGGGAATCTAAGCAAAAGAGTCACTCACAGTACATTAAATCACTCAAATCAAGATTGGAGGAAAATTTCAGCATTGCCTCCAGTAACGCTACAAAGGCTGCCGACCGAAATAAAGCACGCTTTGACAACCGTGTGATACCATCCGCACTGGAACCAGGTGATCGTGTGCTTGTGAGGAACATCCGCCTTCGAGGGAAGCATAAACTTTCAGATAAATGGGAGGAAGAAGTTTATGTGGTTGTCCATCGGGCTGGGGACCTCCCGGTCTATAAGGTAAAACCTGAGAACAGCGATGGACCTATGCGGACCCTTCACCGCGACCTCCTCCTTCCATGCAGCTTCCTCACGGACAGTGAGGTTAACTTGGAATCACCAGAGCAATCACTTCCTCACAGACCAAGAACTCGGCAGCAGAACCCGGATTTAAATTCCTTCACAGAACCTCTGGTTGAGGATGAGGATACAGGAAGCTTGGTTTCATTATATGTTAATCCTCCAACGTTGCACTTCACTGTGGAAAAACAGAATCATCTTCCAGATTCATCTGACGGTGGGAGCCTAGGACCATTGATTTTGGATCCTTCAGTTGAAGTGGAAGTGCAAGGAGAACCAGCCTCTGTGTCCAGTGTTCTTCCTCCAGCAGTGGAGTCTGGTGGTGAGCAATCTGACTCTGATGTGGAAGACATCCTACTTGAACTTGTTGAAAGTCACCCTGAAAACAGAAATAGAATAGCTTACCTGAAAACTTACCTGGAAATGGAGACATACTTGTCGACATTCCTGTCATTGCTGTTGAAGATTCTCCTGAAGAGTCTAGTGTTATTGAGCAAGACACTGACATAGGTGACGGGCTAACATGCGACGGGACGTGCATGGGTTAGGGCGGGGAGGATGTAACCCACATAAAAATAAAAAGAACTGCATCTATAACTAAACCGAAATCTTAAATTCCAACTAAGACAAATTAGTGGCGAGCCAGCCAGGAGGTTGTGTCAAGTATAATATTGTTGTGTACATTCAGTCTCACTATCTCACCATATTACTATGAACATGGACTTGTTGGAGTCATTAGGTGTTAAAATACCAAACGCAGTGTTGGTTAGTGGCGTCCCCGCATATGAGGTTGAGGAGGTTGAAGATTTTCTTCTCCAGTATGGTGCTATTGAACGCTCCGTGCCAATAAACTCACCCGGTTCCGAGTTTAATCATATGCTCGTCGTTGAGTTTAAAACGGGGTCTGCTTTTGATTTATTGGGTCCGATTCTGCCGTATACATTTAAGCCCTTAAATAATGAATATCATATAAAAAGCTTGTCTAAAATCTATGCGGCTACTGTCGGGTGCACAAAGACTAAGACTTATTTAGCTGACTTAAAACAAGTAGCAAAATTGTCTGGTCAGGATTTTGCTGAAGTTCTTCAAGAACTAATGACCCAAATAAATGGAGCTGTTTCAGAATTGCACCCAGGAAGACCAGAAGGGCTCAAGCAGGAATGCACTGCCGCATCTGAACACAAAACGGCTGCCACTCCGGATCAACAAACCCACAACATGGCTATTCCTGTCACTTCTTCAGCTGCCCTACATCCTACAACAACAGAAGGACATTCTATCAGTATGTCTGCAGCTGAGTTGAATCCACCTGAAGTACAGAGGTATGTTGTGGAGCATATAGTAAAGAGCGAAGATGTAAACACACGTTCATCCCATAGGCTGCGCATGTTTTCTGGGAGACTGCCACACCCACAGCATGAGGTGGACTATGATACATGGCGCTCTGGAGTGGATCTCATCTTAAAGGATCCAGCCATCTCAGAACTGCGAAGATCCAGACACATCCTTGATAGTCTTTTACCACCTGCAGCGGACATAATCAAGCACCTTAACCCTGACCTACCAGCAGAGACTTATATTCAACATCTTGATTCTGCTTATGGAATTGTACAGGACGGGGAAGAACTTTATGCGAAGTTCATGGACACGCTGCAAGACTCGGGTGAGAAGCCATCCGGCTACCTACAGCGACTTCAGGTGGCCCTGAGTTTAGCTGTCAAGCGGGGAGGAGTCAAGCAGGGTGAAGTGAACAGGCACCTGCTCAGCCAATTCTGTAGGGGATGTTGGGATAGTAACCTTATCTCTGAGCTCCAGCTGAAGCAGAGAAAATCCAACCCACCTTCTTTTGCAGAACTGTTACTCCTATTAAGAACTGAAGAAGACAGAGAGGCTAGCAAAACTCTGAGGATGAAGCAACATCTGGGAACACCAAGACACAGAGTTGCAGCTCAAGCTCAGTTCGCAGTAGAAGAAGAAAAGGGGGTCTGTGCTGCGTTGTCCACTCTCACCCAGCAGATGGCGGAGATACAAAAGCAACTTGCCGCCTTAACTGCTTCCCAGTCTCGTCAGTCCTGTACTCCTGTCCCAAAGCAGCACCAGAAGCCAAGAACGGATACACAGGGGAATATATCACCTAACCCCAAGCCTGGTTTCTGTTTCAGGTGTGGGGAAGATGGACACATTAGACCACAGTGTGAGAACAGACCCAATTCTGCATTGGTCAATGCAAAACGCAAACAGTTCAGTGAAAGGAAACCAAAATGGCAGAAGCGGAATTCATCAACTGGACATTTAAACTAGATACAGTTCCCGTAATGGGACGTACAGGAACTGTGCAGGACCCACATTGTCCCGCAAAGGAGGAAAGGAACAAGGAGGAAATTGTTCACTGTGTAGACCTACACACTTGTCCGAAGGCAACCACAATGTTACCTCATGGGTTAGTTGGGTCAAGATGCACAACAGAGGTGATCCTAGCAGGCCATCCACAGAAATGCCTGCTTGATACAGGATCACAGGTTACTACAATACCTGTATCCTTTTACAACAATCATCTTCATGAACAACAAATTCAACCACTCCATGATCTTCTCCAGGTGGAAGGTGCTGCGGGTCAAACCATTCCATATCTTGGATACATTGAGATTTCCGTCAAGTTCCCCAGAGATTTTGTTGGTGAAGAGTATGAAGTAACAACATTGGCTCTAGTTGTTCCGGACGTACACCCTGACGTCCCCGCCACTGTGCTAATTGGGATGAACACCCTGGAACCCCTGTATGAACAGCATCTTAACCAGCATCCGAGCTATCAGCCTAGCACTCATGGGTACAGAGCGGTGTTGAAAACACTACAGCTGTCACACAAGCAGAAGGAGAATGGCAGCATTGGGAATGTGAGGCTACTAAGCAAAGCTCCAGTGCGTGTTCCGGCCGGCCGCACTATTGTCATCCAGGGCTCTGCCAAAGTTTCCACCCCATTGTTTAGCCAGAGTGTTCTCCTACAGCATCCTGCTTCCACCTTACCTGGGGGTTTGTGCGTCAGCAGTTGTCTCATCAACTTCCCAGCTCTTTCTCCATACAAGGTTCCTGTGGTTATTACGAATGAGTCGGAGCAAGATACCTTCATTCCACCTCACAGTGTCATTGCGGATTTGGAAACCTACCACTGCATCTTGTCTGAACATCACGTGACCCATCTTCCAGTCAGGAACACTATCACCAGCCTGAATTTTGATTTTGGTGATTCCCCACTGTCACCTGAATGGAGGACGCGAGTCATAGGCAAGCTAAATGACATCTCGGAGGTCTTTTCGCATCATGACTTGGATTTTGGATGTACATCAGCTGTCAAACATCATATTCCACTCCATGACAATACACCGTTCAAGCAACGTGCCCAGCCAATCCATCCACAAGATTTTGAAGCTGTCCGCCGTCACCTGCGTGAGCTTCTGGAAGCCGGCATTATAAGGGAATCATCGTCTCCCTTTGCTTCGCCTATCGTGGTGGTCAGGAAGAAGAACGGTGAGGTCCGACTGTGCATAGACTACCGGAAACTAAACCTCCAAACCATCAAGGATGCATACCCCTTACCTAATTTGGAGGAATCATTTTCAGCACTCACTGGTTCTAAGTGGTTTTCAGTACTCGACCTGAAGTCCGGTTACTACCAGATCCAGATGGAGGAGGAAGACAAGGCAAAGACTGCTTTTGTGACTCCTCTTGGGTTCTGGGAGTTTAACCAAATGCCTCAAGGTGTTACCAACGCCCCAAGCACCTTTCAGCGCTTGATGGAGCGATGCATGGGGGACCTTCACCTAAAGGAAGTGCTCGTTTTCCTGGATGACTTAATCATCTATTCGGACACTCTTGAGGAACACGAACGAAGACTGCTGAGAGTCCTGAACCGGTTGAAGGAATATGGGCTGAAACTGGCACCGGAGAAATGTCGATTCTTCCAAAAGTCTGTAAAGTACTTGGGTCATATTGTCTCTGAGGAAGGAGTTCAAACAGACCCAGAGAAGATAAAGACCATCAAGACATGGCCAGTTCCACAGACTTTGAAACAATTGAGGTCTTTTCTGGGCTTTGCTGGCTATTACCGCCGGTTTATAAAAGACTATTCCGTCATTGCCAAACCCCTCAATGACCTGACTCGTGGATATTCTCCAGTTCAAAGATCAAAGACCCTGGAAGCTCGCAAGATACCCACCTACAGGCCAAATCAATCCTTTGGTGAGAGGTGGAATACCAACTGTCAAGTTGCATTTGAGACTCTGATTGAGAAGCTTACAACTGCCCCGGTCCTTGGGTTTGCAGATCCATCTCGCCCATACATTCTGCACACCAACTGTAATCACAATATCTGTGGTTGTATGTTTATTGTACTTCACTCACCTCCTAGAGCCGAATCTGATATCTTCTGAATTAGCCCAACTACTCATAACCAACTCAATTTACTCTTTAGCTTATGTACTTGCTACACGGGCAACAGGGGTGGGTAAGGGTAAGAGACAGCCAGTGTAGACAGTGCATCCGGTCCTGCAGCATGTCTGCAATGGTCCAGTTGACCCGCCATCTGCCCCGGGAGGGAACCAAAGCATGGGAGGAGGCGTTAGATTCGGGGGAGTGGGGGTGATAGTGAGGGTGTATCAGTATCAGTGTACATGTTTTGTGCGTGTGCGTGTATCCCATGCTCAGCTGAGAGAAAGTGTCACCACGCCTGGTTAAGCGAAGATCAACAGTCTCCAGTGGACGCAGGTGGCCTTGAAGGAGGTACAAAGAGTTCTGACAACAATCCTGTTATCATGGAGAATTTTGTTGTTCTAGTCAGCTTCGACCATGGCAAGCCTTCAGCTGGCACCACTGGGATAGTTGCATGAGCGAAGATGGTGAATGTTTGGGTTTAGTGCGAACAACTGCATCCAATTTTTTACAGTTGGTCTAATGTCCATCACTGGTCCCCAATTCTCTCAATTCCCATTGTTCTTCTCCAAGATCTTATCCATATTGCATTCAAAACACAGTCTGAGTACTCACAGCCCTGCCAATCGTCTATCATGTTGGCCAGCCTTATGGGATTTTGAACAGCTGTAGCCGCTTCTTGTTCTTCAATAAGCCAGGTCCGAGCCAGCTCCAGTCAGCCAGAAATCTGTTATTGTGGTTACGCATTGGTAGATGTCCTCCATCGAAAGTGTCACCAGACACACGACGCAACCGACCATTGAGTATCCGGCAGCAAACGTGTCTGCAGGACAATCGGACTCTCCCAAGCCCAGGAGAGTGTCAATTCTGTTACGGGACCAGTTGATCAAATCCATAATTATTTAGATTTTAGAGAACAACACTGAGAAACTCCTTCAGGGATATAGTTAGACTGGAACCCATCGCCAGATCGTCCTGTCTCAGGAAAACCAGGGCCATCACATATGTCCCCTTACATCCCGCCCATCACCTGTTTGACCCACTGGCCGTTGGTCAGCGCTTCCAGACTCACAAACAGCTTCTTCCCCAGGCCCATTCGGACTGTAAACAACACTACTAAAGAAAACTTCACAGAGCAAAGCACAACATTCAACTACTCGTTAGCCTCAAGACAAAAACAAAAAACATAACAAGTAATTTACAAAAACAAATTAATGGAAAGGCTGATCAATTCTAAAACAACATTCTTTGAACACATGAAAGTCAGATCAACCTCCAAGATAATGGATGGAAGAACAAAAGAAGGAGCGGACACCTCTAAATGTCAAAAATGACACCACAACAGAACTGTCAGATAGAGCAGGGCGATATGGCCAAAAATATTTATCACGATATATATTTGACAATTTGCGATAACGATATAACTGACAATATAATTGATGCAAGACAAAATACAACTCCACAACTTTACTAGCACAAAAAAAAACCCATCCATTTATTTTCACTTAAACAAGCAGCTGTTTTTTTTTTTATGTGCATTAAAGCTATATAAAAATTTAACAGTGAAAATGCATATTCCTTGCTGAAAGTTTAACCAAAAGGCATTTCCAGTAGAAATGGGCTGACATATCCTGAGCATAACCATATATAATATCCACTGAAGTTAAAAAGAGGTGCTTTGC